TTGTTAACTGATGCGCAATATAAATATGCAACACATATTGTTCTACATCAACCTTTGGACAATAAAGTTGTTTTTTAACAATATGTTAATCATTGCCATCATCATCAACTTTTTTTTCTCCCTGGACACTAACTCATAGAAGCCTGTAAAAAGCTATGGTCTGCCAGGAAATAACCCACTTCGCATATTGAACGCACTCTTTAATCTATGATTACCACTAGTTATAATATATAGATTTAGCCAGCGCTAAAAGCGAAGCTAGTTATAGACTCTCGTTAATATACTTGTAAATAATTTACTCAAACAAGAAAATATATTTTTTATTTTACTTACTGAGTAGTTTATTTACACAACACATGTTACAGTTACAAATTTTAAAACTAAAAGAAAGTATATAACAATATTACAGATTGGACCATAATGATTACATAAAAACGGAAAAGAATTAAACACAACAGTTCAGACAATAGCATTAAACCTGTTAATTAACAGATTCTGATTCTGGTAAAGTTGAATTCTTTCTAACTAATTGAAGGAAGAGTTTTTTCGAAATCATACCTCCAACCGATTCTAGCCTTAAATTCATCCAAAGACAAATCTTTAGGTGCTAATTTATTTATGTACAAGTAATATTTAGCAAGCAGAAGAGTAAAATCGAGCTTTTTGACAATTTCCAATCATTTCTTTCTTTTAAAAAGCTAAAAGTACTAGTTTCTTTTGACAAAATTTCTTAAACCCCCAACTTTGAGTAACAAGATGAAGTGTTAACCTTGCACAGTTACTTTCAGATCAGGGCATGGGGAGAAAACACTAAAAGAGAATCTGTTAATTAACTGGCCGATAATAAGAAGAATAGCTACCACAAAGAGGATATAAGTACCACTCAGTGCCGGATACAGACCTTGAGTTATGTGGGGGGGGGTGGTCATCCAGAGGGGGGGCCCAGTCAGTCTCCAAAAAAATTTTTTTTGGCCCTTCGGGCCTCAGTTTGGTCTAAAAATAAGACGGGGGAAGGCAGGTGACCCTGAGCCCCTCCCCTGGATCCGCCACTGCAACGTCAGACAACCAAATTTCAATGGTTTTTCAAGGACAAATTACAGTTTTTAAGGACTAAGATTTTAAAAAAATAAATCGGCATTCTGTAACCCCCTTTGATCACTCTATTGGCTAAAACCCTAGCCTTTACAATTAATTTTTACCTCCATACTTTTTTCCGCAACAAGACGGACTGGGTATGACTTGCAATTGCTTCTGAGGTGCAGAAATCATTCATGCGCAAAAATGTTTTTACGTTACCCGTGAGTTTTACAGGTTCTTATACACCGAGGATGAGCCAAATTCTCCTCGACAAAATAATCCGAGTAATTTTACAGAAAAAGGAAGGTGTCTAAAAGGTGGTGAATTTCAAGGACTTTTCAAGACCTAATAAAGACATCAAGTATTTTTTAAGGACCTAAACCGAATCCAAGGACTCAGACTTTTCAAGACGACTAGTAAAATTCAAGACCTTTTCAAGATTGAACGGACCTTGTATAACAGAAACAGAAAGCAACGCTAAACGGCGACGGCAACGAAAACGACAAAAAAATAGTAAATAAGTCTAATAGAGAGGAGAAGTGTGACGTCACGTTGCCATGGTAGCAACAATTCTGGATGACAACAATGAAGAGCTTAAGCAAGGACGACGGCGAAAACAACGAGAACGGCAAAAAAGCGATAGGTTTAGCAAAAACTTTGCACGTGCATCACGCTTTTTTCTAGCTACATTTCTTACCCGTCGTTACGCGACTGCGACATGGAGCTTCCTAATTTCACGCGCCCGCGGAGATGGTCAACACAGCACAAAAATTTTCATTTTCTTTTTCTTTTTCTAAACACAGATACGGTCCTTTCGGATTCAACCCCAGAGAATTTTTTCAACATTTAACATAGTAAATGAAACTGAATAAGTTCGATGAAATTTGAAACAGCGCGAATTTACTTAATTAAGTGACGTCGGGTTTGTTGTCTGATCCAAAAATTTTGCTACTATGGAAACGTGACGTAAGACTTCTCCTCTCTATTAGCAAAAAACAAACCAACAACCTTGCAAGTGCGCAGCACCCTTTTTGTACATTTCTTTGACGTTGTTTTGCACGACTACAAGTGAAACTTCCTAGCTCATTTTATGTTGGAAAATATCGTATGTGCTCACCAGTGTTTTGTCATGTTCTTGTTCACTTTTTTTTCTACACTGTTGCTCACTGTTTCACCTTGTTGGCCGCCTTTTCTCATTTTCTCACCGGCATTTCCATGTTTTTCCTCCAACGAAATTTATCTCTGTTTTTTGTCTAACGCTTTAGCTCTGTTGTCGATGTCATTAAAGACTTTAAAATTTAGTCGGACTTGACTTTGTTGTTGGTTTTTCTCTCTTCTAAGTCCGGATGGACTTTCTGTCTCTAAAAAGTCGCGGTGGACTTAAGGTTTCCCGCCGAAAAACCCCGTCTTGCATTTGCCATACCTGTTGATTAAGTTATTTTACATTGGTATGCCTGTGGTGCGGAAGGGCGTGCGTACGCTCACGTGATTATTTATGCACAGTGAACCAAAATTCTTACCCATGGTTCTCCGTTGCGCGCGCGTGAGCTTCGCCAAAAATGTTTGTGGTGAGCCAAGACGTCAAAAACGCCAAAATAGACCTCTGTCACGCGGCAGCCATTTTGTCTCGGGAGATTTACAAAACTTTGTTTATGCACAGCTAGCCTTCTAGAACCTTACCCTTCTATTGGGGCCTGAAGATTTTCAGAGATTTCAAGGAAATTTTTTGCCTGATCTGAATTTGTCTGCAAGAAAAATATTAAAACTTTATAGCGACTATCCGCTGAGCAAAGTTAGTGAATCACAGCTTTCAACCTTAAACATTGGTTCAATGAACATCATTTAATACCTATTGCGAGCGTAAAGTCACGGCATTGCTCAAGCGTTTTGTAACGGCAAAAGATATTCAAGTCTTCAGCCTCGCCGAAGCCTATTTCCCTTTCGTAAACGATCTTTGCCATTTATAACACGCGATACCACCATGTTGGTAACCAAGCCTTTAGTCATGATGTAATATGCTCCCTGGATTAACTTGCAGCAAGAACGCCAGTCTCGCTTGCTTGGAGATTACATAAGAGATAAGGAGGCGATTAATTCTAAACGAAGCAGGATTTCTTCGCTAAAAGGTTTCACTTCCCACTTTATCGACGGTCGAGTATTCTTCAGAATATTTAATGAATATTTTCTTCAGAGTATACGCGTGTACAAATACAAATCATTGCTAGAAAGTGAAAACGTGATGAACATGGCGCGTCATTTCAATCATCGCCAAAAATAAAGCGCATCACAAGACTCATTTTCATACCATGAAAGTTTACAACGCCCGACTAGTTTATAGCCTCACCACCGAAGTTTTCACTGAAACATTCACTTGCTCAAAAGTAATCAACGATTTCAAGCAATAGAATTTGTGGACCGACCGGTTCCGAGAAAGCTCGACATCTCTGCATCAATCTTTCCTAAGCTTTCTTCACAAAATAGAGCATGGCGCTGTGACAGGTAGCAATTTCCATCCTCAGTTTCCATGATCTCTGCTAGTAACGCCTGCTGGGACCATGATTCCCTTTTGGCGCACACACAAGCGAGACTAACTACCTACTGTGCTAGTCTATGTTTTAAAAGCTTAGGTAGTAATTTTTTTTTTTACGGGGAACAAGTTCCTTCTCTCATGTCAAGAGACTCGTCGTTTGTCATAGTTACTAGAAAAACGTGCGTTTGTTTCGCTTGAGTCCCGCAAACATGTAGGATTAGTCTCATACTTAATAGTCTGCATTTCCTCTAAACCATTGCTTAACTCTTTTATGTTTGACTTTCTGTTTACGATTCAACGCAAACCAGCTGCCATTTCTACTTTGATATCGCGCCGACAGTTTCGAATAACTCACTTCCATTTAATATTTTCAGCCTAAAATCGGCAGGAAAAAAATAAGAATATTCAGCCTGTGTGTTTTTAACTGAAGAAACTGACGCTATATAATACGACTTACATCTTATTAGCTGCCTTAAAGTTAATAAAGGATACTATAGTGTAAGTTGATTTTTTTGTAGTCGATTGTAGTTTAAGGCATATATTACTTTTTGACACATGATTGCTCATCGGATTGCCATGTCATGTACATACGGGTGTTCTGAATATTTGCAACTGATACTATATTAAGGAACGGATGATTTATTAAGTAACTAGGGTGCTGTATCTTTAGGCCGCCTCACACTCTTTAAGTCATCCGTGAACATGTAGTTTATCAAAAAATGTGTTCATAGGTCCAGCAACTACTGTTGGATTGGTTTGCGAAGTAAAAATTCCGTTTTCCTCTTAAGTTACCTCTCAGCTCGTTCTGTCTGATTGTATGTTTGCGATTCATAATTGAAAACCAACTGCCTTTGCTTATTTAATATTGCGTCAGTAGTTTCATATAACTTCCTTCCTTTTTAACTGACGAACTTCAACATTTATACCACCTATTGCGTTTCGCTTGAAAGAAAATTAATACTAATAACTGTGTGATGATGAAGTTACATTTAAAGTTTTAATTCCTGGTTCAGACATGCAAAGTTTCAATTTCAAATAAGGTGAGAGTTAGGATATTGTGAGCACGACTTAGGGACTTTTTTTACTACTGTCGCGGAAGACTCAACAGTATTCAGTTAAAAACCAATTGCCATCGGAGGAGGAAGTCTGGAGAATATTCAGTAAGTCTCGTAAAGAGTAATTTCCAGTGTCAGTCTCGTGCAAAAAAGAAAAAAATTGCAGAATTCCTCAAAAGTACAGCTGCTGAAACTTAAGACTGCATATAACGCTCCATTCAATGGTGGAAGCTGAAGGTCAGTCTCATTCAAAAACGGATGAAACCAAGAAAGCAATGAAATTCTTTGCATATTATAGTAACTGAACGTTGATTGGGGTTGTGTAAAAAAAAAAAAAGATGGCAAGTGCTGAAGGCTTGAATTTGACATTTGTTGTTAACTGTTTCTTCAACTCTTTCTTGTCTTTCACCGCCATCGTATTAAACATCATAACAATGCAAGCGCTCAGAAAAACATCGTCGTTGCCTAGGACTTTAAAGACATTGCTACTAAGCCTTGCTGTGTCTGATCTGGGTGTAGGCTTACTTGTCCAACCACTGTATGTTGCATTTCTTGTGATGGAAATAAAACAAAACAAAAACAGCACCGCTTATTATACAGTAGAGAAAGCGGGTGTAATCCAGGCAATAACATTGATCTTTGCTTCGCATTTTGGTGTTTTTGCATTAGCTGTGGACAGATTCTTGGCCATTCAGCTTCATCTCAGATATCAGGAGCTTGTGACTCACAAACGTGTTGTTGCTGTTGTGATCTCAGTCTGGGTGTTTAGTGCATCAATTTCCATCCCAGTTAACTTGTTTGGTTTTTATACTATAAAAGCGGTCATTTTCGTTGTTTGTGTCATAACTACAGGATTGCTTTATTGCAAGATATACGCTTCCGTGAGACACCACACAAATCAGATTCACGCTCTGCAAGTACAACAGGCGACACAGAATGAAGATATGGCAAATGCCGCAAGGCTGAAAAAAACTTCACTGGCTACATTCTACGTTTATTTCGTGTACTTAGTTTGCTATTTGCCAATATCTTGTGTTTATTTTGCCCAGACCAATGGTGAAACTCCCTTGTTATCTCAGTTATGGTATTTCACATTGACTCTTGTGTATCTCAATTCATCCCTCAATCCCTTAATCTACTGCTGGAAGATGAGACACATTCGACAAACTGTTATCGACATACTTCGAAATATTTTCGCGATTTGTCCCCACTAAAGAAAGGATCTAACTGAGAATAACTTCTGCCTTTTTCTCTCTGAGTGGTCAAAATAATAGCTTTCCAGCAATACAGTTGGAAAAATGACACTAAATATAAACGGGAGCTGAAACCTCTTGTACTCTCTGTTCGAAGGCAAAGGGATAAATATATGATCCAGTGAGTATAAGTTCATGAGATTTCAGTTTGCTTTGGAATAATTAACAAATAACGAAAACTCTGAAAGTATTATTTATCAAAGTCAGGAAAGAGGGTAAAAAGAAAAAGCAAGGTGGTTTAGGACGAATGACGAGTGACGTGATAAATAGAGGGCCGAGTTTCCAAATTTTCATGGGCAAAAAGTTCTGTGTACAGTAAAATGTCTTAAAAAGTTTACTAGATTTTGTTAACCATGTGCATGCAATGAAGAAAACTAACTAAAGGGGAGAGAGATCAAAACTATGGCAAAAAATCTTCCATGCTTAATGTACCAAGAGTGGCGAAAAGATTTACCGATATAACAACAACAACAACAACACGTAATAATAATTATTATTATAATAAAAATAATAAGAATAATAATGATAAGAAGAACAACACAGCCTATTTGTTGAGAGAAAAGAAAACTTGTAGTTTATACTGTTGAGAATATATATTACAATACTTGTAATTGATTCATATCAATAAAGTTCACGTGAAAAAGTTAAAATGTTTTGAAGATGGTAAAAATATACCATTTAATCAGGGGTTTTTTTAATTTGTCGAGTCCAGAAATTACCAATAAGATCACAACATTTAAAAAAAGAAAGAGCTCTCCTCACAGCGCAACCGATTGAAACAAATGATCGATAGCTAAATGACATCATAATACTAAAATACCATATTACGGAACCAGAAAGCAGTCATAATATGGCTCCAATATCAAGCAAAGAGCTTCTTGCTCTGAGATTAAAAACTTAGAACCATAATGTTTGACGAAACAATTAAGTATAAGGCCCAGGGTTGAACCTAAGTACACAGTTTCCTCACGTCCCAGTTCTACGTCTTGTATGCAACTCTCGGTACGTGCTTTTACAATAAAGTTGAAACTTTGTACGAGACCGTACTTAATGTTTCCATTGGCATTTAGAACGAGCGAGTCCAAGAAAGTAATTATTGTAACCAATGATGTGGAAAGAACTATAACAACGTGAAAATGAAAAAAAAAAAGGTGACAAAATCGTATATTTCCACTATTCTTAAACTAACATGTGTTTTCTCCTACACATTAATATTCCTGTTTGGTGGTTATGATCATGAGCGCTCTTTCACAATCATGAAAGTTCGCCCACAATTTCTGCTTCAAGGGAGGGAGGGAAGAAAAGTATGCTCTTGTCATTTAGCAACTTTTAACCGCAAAGAAAAACACAAGACATGTACACTTCATACACACTGAAGTTTATTTTTCTTTTTTTGGGCCTACAATGTAACTTCTGGATGCACCAGTAAATGTGCCAGCCAATAAAGACAATAAAGTCTAATGCTTTTACTACCTACATTTATCATTTGTCAGGGAGGGGAGTGAGGCTAGTTATTGTTACATCAGTTTTATCGAAAAACCATTTTACTACTCCCTCACGTATACGTGTATAAGAAGAAATTTTACAAGGAAATAAGCGAGTTTTTTTGTTTATTTGGTACGCATTAAATTGCGCGCAATGATGTTGTTTTCGATACATTTTCAACAACATGAAATTGAGAAATAGTTGATTGTCGTTTAAGGCATATATTGCTTTTTGCAACATGATTACTCGTCGAATTGCGACGTCGTGTTGGCTACTTTCATAAAGTTGAGGCTACAATGGATATTTTAAACATTCTGATCATTTGTTACTGATTAAACTTTGACACACAAGACAGCATGATTTGTTTAAGTAACTACCTACTGTGTCTTTGTTTAACACCCTAGCTAGTAAGTTTTTTTTAATGGGTAATAAGTTTTTTATCTCATTTCCTCCCTGTGACTCGTCATAGATCGTTGTTTATCAAAAGGTCTGCCCCATATTGTTTGCGTGGGTCCAGTAAATACATTGGATTGGTCTTCGACGTGATGGTCGGTTTTTCTTATAAACCATCGTTAAACTCACTGGACGAAAAAACGGATTTACTAATGTTTGCGAAAGGTGCAAATATGTGGTAAATTTGGAGCTCCAAATTTGCATTACATTTGCGCTGTCGGCTAAAGTGTGGGCAAATACATATATTTGCTAGATAGGTATTGATATGCAAAAGTCAAGTAAATGTAATGGTTTGATACAAATTTGATACATATTTGCAGCATGGGCAAATCTTCAACATTTCTACCAATTTACTCAAATTTACATCCTTGGCAAAAATGACAGTTTTCACTGTACTTCAAATGCAGGCAAAAATACTGCAAAACCCCTAATTTGCAGTGGTGTTTGCTCTTGTTTTTCCAGGATACCAAAAGAACACTTTTGCATGTGGTTTACTCGTATTTGCCTTAAGAGCAAAAACAATAAATTTCTATACATTTGGCTGTATCATAAATTTGAACATTTGTATTATAATTATCCATATTTGCAAGGGGAGCAAATATAGTGAACTGCATAACATTTGCTGACAGTCAAAGGTGATGTGCATGTGACATTTCCTATATGTTTGATTTGTTTTGTGACTAAAGTAAATTTCCAATCTCAACTGTAACATTACATTGTTACAATAAAATTTTGTACTCGCTGTGAGACTCCGCCCAGAGGTCCAACCCCCTACATGCATCTTTCCTGTTAACTGTTTTATATGCACTGTCATTTTAATATAAAGTAATCAGAAACCAGTTACTTTTTTGACAATTTTACAGTCACAAATTTCTTCTGTTAGTCTTTTTACAGAACGAATCAAATTTGGTCCAAAATAAAACGTTTTGTGGATTTCAAACTCAGGGTTGTGATTATTCACTTGTACACAATTTCCTCATGGTCATTTAACCAACAAACTTAATTCAAATTAATACCAACAATTTTAGTTTAACCGGTATTTGTTGTAGTTTTGACTGCCCACCTAGAGATGACTACATCTCGATGGTGGGCTTCCTAAAATTGACCACATTTTGAAAGCCAAACAGCCAATACTACAACAAAATATGGTGAAACTGCTCACAATTTTATTTGAACATTAACTCAGCCGACAAATTTATGAAAGGCTAATTTTTCTTACTCTGTTGTTTGCAACCCTGAGTTTGAGTTTCACTGATTTTTTTGTTGATTTTGACTTTTACTGTTCATTAAGTACTACCCATTCAATCTAAAAAAGTCATAGCATTTTTGCTGGCTAAAATTCACCTGAATCCTGGTTATTTGATCTTGGGATACAAGGAGCGGGGTTGTGGCTTCCCAAAAAAAATTCTGATGAAGAGAGGGTCTTCATATACAGGAGC